AGAAATTTTGTAACAGTGTACATTTGTTTTCTGCGGCAGCTTGTTTGTTGCCTATTCAAATTGAGTGTGATGTGATAACAAAAAGCAGTGTACAGCCTAAATGATGCAGGGTTATGCCATCTGTCCTGTTCCTTCATTCTTATGTGAATGATCTCCATTAACTTAAATGTTCTTGAAATTTTATTTTTATTTTGAAATTGTACCAAAAGAGCTTTGCTTTTAAACCACAATGGACATTAGGTTTGCTGAGCTACATTTCAAGGAACTGTGGTAACAATAATTTCTCCAATTTAAAACTTCATATTATTTGAATTCAAAATTTTAAGAAAACAACCGATTCTGAGCTTTTTATTAAAATGTAATTGGCAATTTCTGAGCCCTTGTGACCCACCTAGAAAAGAGTCATTGAAAATTCTTGTCCTTTCTATAGGAACAGAAATGGTGAATATGAAGAACAGTAACAGTAAATTATGGTGTCAGTGTGGTCTTACTGCATCTTTCTGTTTTCCTTATTTTGTTCTACATTTGAATATTGTGTTGCGAACACTAGAAATCAAAATGCTGTAAATACTGTGATAAAAAAATTTTGCCGGAGTATTCTTAGGGACTAAAACAGCTCCAGTTAGGAATGCTTCTTGTCAAAGTGCCCTGCAAGGAAGAAGAGTTAGAAGAAATTGGAACAGCATTAAAACATATTTTTTGTCTGTAGAAAGAATATCTACATGGACAAAAATAAATGAAATGACTTTCAATTTCGCCTGGGTTTTTTAGTGGACTTTTCTGATTCTGGCATAATTTGTACTGTAGTAGTTAAAACTATCACTAGGCCACATGTGATCTGCAATTACTTTTCTTGTCCTGTAATTTGAACAGATTTGTTGTTATCCACTACCATAACTTATTTGTGTGAGACTTCCTGTAATTTGCAAGGCAGTAAAACTTGCATGCAAATGAGATCATCAATAAACAGAAAAAAAAAAACAGCATCCACTCTGATTCTTACACAAGCTCCAGCCACTACATTTTTTACTCCAAATTGTATCTAGGAATCTTGGTTTGTTGTAATGTTGTATGGTAGTTCTATCATTTCAAAATTGTGGCTAGATGAGTGGAAAATTAAATAATTCCAATTTCTGATGTGTTTTATACTTCTTTATTTACAACACAAAATTATAAAAATACTCAAGGGAGCCATATGAGCAGTGGACATAGATCTCAAATTCAACAGCATGTCATGAAGTAAATCTAAGAGAAAAAATACAGCACACTAGCTAGATAATCTATGAAAAAATATTAGTTGTATGTTTTGCAGCACTTGCATTTGCATACCTTAACAGACTAGTTAATGATTTCCCTGGACCTACTTCAAATGTATGAGGGAAACCTGAGCCTGGTTCTCTATCATACAGAATACGGAGAGTCTGCTCCCATTTAACTGGTCGATATATTTGCTTCATTAGTTGTCTCTTTATACTTTTGCCATCAGTGTAGGCCATACCATCAACATTAGAATGGACAGATATCTCTGGATCTTTAAATTTAGCCTTCCAAAGGTGCTCAGCAAATTCTTCAGCAGCTGGACGCATTAGTTCAGTATGAAATGCTCCTGACACAGGAATTCTTCTACATCTTTTTATTTTTAATTCTTTGCTGTTTTGTTCAATAAATTGTATAGCCTAGAAGATGCACAGTTTTTGAAAAAGGTTACTTTAAGATATTTTTTTAAGCACAAAATTAAGACAAAAACAAAGAGAAATCACACTGACAATGTACGTACCTCAATATTTCCCCCAATAACTCTGCAGTTGGCATACATAAAGTTAGCCACAGAGCAAACTGGTTTCTCTACGCCATTTCTTTTGCAGTATTCAATAGCACTATCTAGAATAGTGCCAAGTTTAGCTCCAGGATCTAGGAATGTAGTAATCATACCCCCTTGGACTTCTTCTGATGCTCTTTGCATGGCCTCTGCCCGATACTTCACCAATTTCAGACCTACAATATAATTTAACAATTGAAGTTCATGTTTATATAGTCTACCACTTACTTCAAACAAACTTATTTATACCTTCTTCAAAAGTTATAGAATTTGCAAGCACTAAGGCTGCGTATTCACCCACGCTAAATCCAGCAGTAGCAACGCAGGTTTCAACAGACATTTGACGCTCCTCTATCATCAGCTGCAGAGCAGCTAACGATGTCACATATATAGCTGGCTGACAATACACGGTAAGATCAAGTTCATTCTGGGGCCCATTCAAGCACAATTTTAATAAGTCATAGCCTAGAATATCCTTTGCATCTTTAAACATGTCTCGCACGACAGGCAAGTTTAGCAGCCTCTGTCCCATGCCAACACGCTGGACCCCTTGCCCAGGGAAAAGAATAATGGTTGTCTCTTCTGGATCAACTTTTGGCCGTAGTGCTTTCTGGGCCTGGTCCCTCTTATTGGCTTCAGCATAAGGTGATTTCAGCCATTTCTGATCTTCTACTTTAAGTCGGTTACCTACAGTAGAGTTGTCTAACAGCTCTTTCACTGTCTTCTCTGAAAGCTCATCTGGACCACCCAAACCACCACCACCACCACCACTGTTCCTTTTTCTTGCAGAACATACTTTAGATGAGTGCAAATGACGAATACATGTCTTTAAGTATTTTAACTGGCAAAAGCTCCTAGGAGGTATCATCTTATTAAAATGAAAGTAGAACAATGTTTTATAAAGATGGAATGAATGTCTATAAACTTAACACTGAGTAAACACCGTGGTAAACATAAAGCATTATCGTTCTTGTCAAAAGCCGCATGAATGAGAAAGGTTATGAATCGCAGGTCACAGTACTATGTTTACACCGCGGAGGCTAGCCCGTGCTATGTCGGTGGTGGGGGAAGTTGGCCCCGGCGTAAACGGCGCGGGGCCAGCGATGGCTAGCCGCTCGCTGGCACGCGCTAGCCTGCCCCCCTCCACCGCTCTGCTTGGTCTAGCCCCGGAGTAAACGCGTTTCGCCCGGGCTATCTCCGGCTGGACTTTTAAAATACCCGATATTTGTGTATTGCACTTGGCATTTCGGTGTGGCTTTCGTACCCCAACAGGAAATAAATCCCCTATTCGACCCAGAGCCTCAATTCTCACTATCGTCTTCAATATACCTTGATATATCTAAGATACTGTAAATATTTCAAAAATTGTTGCTATCACGTATATCCTATAGATAAATGATGTGAGTAGTAAGCAGTTAAATATTCTACACCCGCTGATTTGCAAACCGTGTACCGGGAGAAGTATTTTACCCTAAAATACTTGGTTTGATCGTTGAGATTTGAAAACCGCGCTCTTTTTCATCAGCTGGCCCACACGGGGTAAACGCACCGCCGCCAGCCCGGGCTAGCGCTGGCCCGGGCCAGCGTTCTACGGCGTAAACATAGTACAGGTCGCAGGTACAGGAGTCACAGCTGGTCACAGTATGAAAATAAAAACGGTCCATGAACATACAGCCGAAGTCAGATTCACATTCACACTGTTGTTCAGATCACAGTTCCAGCCCAGCTGATAGAAGTTTCTGTAGAATTTCTTGTTTACTTTGTCTAATCTTATGTGAAAAACCAGAAATAAGGTTTGTAAAGACCCTGTAATTATTTCTCTGATCTATCTTTTATCAGTTTGATAGGTTCCCCAACATCTTAAAATAAAATAAAATTTAATTTTGAAACTATTAAGGAAAGACAATGTGTTCTAGAGCAATAAACAATTCTAAAATTCATTTTACTTCTTGACAGGCCTGAATATTTACTGCTATGTGCTCTGCATTTTATTCCAGAAAATGAATGAATGGAATAATCTATTTGCGTACACACCCTCTCCTTTAATAAATGCTGCAAGCACAGGAAATCTCAGTCTCTTACAAGAACTCTTGGACACTGGCAAGGACCCTAATTTATCTGATCATCGAGGGTGGACACCTCTCCATGCTGCTGCAGCAAACAATCAGTAATTTCTTTTGGCTAATCTCAAAGCAATTTATAACCATTAAAATACCCTTCTCAAATGTTGTATTTTCTTGCTTGCAGGTTGGAAAGTGTTAAAGTTTTGCTTCAGAAAACATGTATAAACGCACAAAATCGGACACATAATGGTGAGACTGCTGCTGAGCTTGCCGTTATTTCAAATGCAAGTCTTCCTGTTGTTCAACTTCTTTTAGAACATGGAGGCAGAACTGTCATGCGGCCTTACATGTTACATGTAGCGTGTTTCAATGGTTCTCTTGATATAGTGAAACTTCTCGTCAGTAATGGATGTGACATTAATGTTCATGAAGAACTCAATGAACAAACACCTTTACATCGAGCAGTGGAAGGAAAGCAACAAGATGTTTTGCAATATCTACTTAGTATAGGTGCCAAAGTAAATCAGGGTGACAGTTCTTCCTGTACCCCACTCTTCGAAGCTGTTCAACAAGATTCTTTGCAATGTGCTGAAATATTGATGAAAGCAGGTGCAAAGCCTAATAGAAGGACTTATGATGGAGTCACACCTCTTATGATGGCTTGTCAGAAAGGAAACATTGAAATGGTGAAACTCTTGCTTCTTCATGGGGCTAAACCAAATTTGTATGCAAAGGACTATTCCATGGCAATAACACTAGCTGTACATGGTGGGTGGACTAACATTGTGCAACTCCTAATGCCACTTTTGTGTCAGAGCACACTTCTTAATGCGGCTGCCAGTCCATCTGCTGGCACTGTGTCTCTATTTTGTATGGCAATTGATTCTGAGTCCGAAGATTGCCTGTCTATTTTACTAGAGGCTAATCTTCCCCATGAAATCAAAATATGGCCTCTTCAAAGAAAACTTAGAGATATGCAACCAAATGCCAAATATACCAAGTGCGGACCAATGAGCTTTCTCTTGATGGATAAAATGTCTGAATATGGTGACCGCACTATAGTCATACTAAAGAAGTTAATAGACTGTGGTTTTCCTGTTAATATAGATAAGAGAAATGAATTACCACCATTAGTAGCAGCTTTATTATATCCATTGCTACAGCCCCCTGTCGGTCAACTTGAGATATTGGATTGCTTAATAACTACAGGAGCAGAAGTTGATTACAGAAGTATATCTACCAACAAATTACCTGACGCCCTTTTAGCAGCATGTTTAAAATGTAATGGCCCTGCTCTGAAAACGTTACTTCCAAATAGTGCAGTATGTCCCCATCAGCTTTTGGAACACTTCATTGCTGGTAAATCAACAATGTTTTGCTATTTTCTAATGGCCGAAGCATCATTAGGGGATGACTTTACAGGCCTGGATGCTAAAGTTAATACTTTAGTTCAAAACAAATCAAACTGTATGTGGTTCAATTTTTTACCTCGTCTTCGGGAGAGTTTTCCGACTCTTCAGGCAATTACCAGGAGGAAAGTCAGGCTGTGTTTGAAGAATAATGCAAGGGACACTCAAGAATTTCTTCAAAGCATTGAGTCTTTGAATATTCCAAATTTGATTAAGAATTTCATTCGTTTTAAAGTTTGACCAAGAAAACAGAATTTAGAACCTAGTTTTCTTGACTGATCCTTTTTTTTTTTTTAATATCATTTTACAGTTTTTGAGATTTTGTAATTGTTTATTTCAATTTAGTACTGACATAGACACTGCCGATGTTTTCTTTATGTTTTCTCTTCTTTTTCTTTCTTTTGTTATTTACTTCTGTGATTAGAGTGAATATGTACGTCTGAGGAAATGATGGAAGCTGTGATCGCTTAGAGAGAAAGTTAACTATACTTGCACAATGCTCCACCTAGAACTGTGATTTAGTTTAATTAAGGTCATAAAAATATAAGTATTTCATGTGAAAAAGTAAGAGAGAATACATTTGTTTCAACTTGATGCCTTTTTTTGTAAATAAGAAAATTTATAGACCCTAAGATATTTGTTACATAGTTTTACAAAAAATAAATAGTACGTATGTTTCTGGATTTTTAACTCACTGATTAAGCACCCTTTCGGCAGCTTTTATTGTTTCGGTCACCTGCTCAGAGTCAGTTAAAGGGGATACTTTGCCCATGCTGAGTTTGGTTGAATCATCTGTTAACTGTGCATGACTTCGTGCTGAGCCATGATATTCCCTTGCACCTGTCTGCTGAAGAATTGAAGCTACGTTGTCTTTGGTCACTCCCGCTCCAACCATGATTGATATTTGACCTTCAGCTTTTTCAACCATTTTCTTGATAAGAGCTACACCTTTCAAAGCACTTTCCTGTTGTCCACTAGTGAGGATCCTCTTAAAACCTAGGAACAATTAAACATCAACCTGTGAGGTAAACGGCGAGTACATTACAGAGCAGAGGTAGAAGTAATGTTGGTCACAGACCTAATTCAGCGGCTAGAGATACAGCTAGAAGAGGATCACGGCACACATCAATTGCACGATGGAACGTTACTGGAAGAGGTGCTGTAACTTGGAGAATGGCCTGGCAAGCATTTACGTCAATGTCTCCATTAGAGGTCAGAGCACCAAATACAAAGCCATCAACCTTCCCTATAGCTCTCAAGAGTAGGGCATCCATCTTCATAGCTTCTACTTCTGCCGGGGAGTACAGAAAGTCATTACCACCTCGAATACGCAGCATGCAAAATACAGGAACTGCCTTGTTGACAACTGATGTTACAGCCTGAAATTGAAAAAGGAGCCGATAAATATGACTTTCAGTTTAGATGTCTTATGAATTAATTAATTTTTAACTGCCAATACCTTCAATAAGCCAGGGGTTGGTGTGAGGCCCCCTTCGCTCAGACAACAACACAACTCCAAACGCGCAGCTCCCCCTCTGACGGCATTCACTGCAGATTCCACAGAATCCACGCAAACTTCCATTTTAAGTGGAAGTTAAAAAACCTTGATGACCTGACAGATTTCCTAACACTCCACTGATCGTTGTCGATGTCACCCGGACCGGACCGAACCGCATATCTGTCAGTGTCAACAGCTGTCAAACCAGAAAAGGCCTATTTAATTTCTCATAGCTGTACTTCTTTTCTTATGAGAAATTGTGATTTTTGTTTACGTTTGCCGTTGCTAGCGACAGGGGAAGTTTTAATGATTTCCGTGAAATATGTTTTAGGACAAATCTTTAAAAACGAATAGAAAGAGTTTATACAGTTGGAAAACCTTTCCAACAATGCGTGTCAGTCCATGTTCTCACTACCAGCCTCCATCACCCTTCACAAAATTATTCATTCGGTACTGATTAGTTTTTCATATACTGGTAAATCACCTTGAGAATGAATCTACGCATTCAGATGTGTTTTCCTTGAGTGGTGTGAAAACAAAATGTTAAACAGTTATGACATTGTCTGATCAGCTGTTATTCGTTTAAGAAAGGTAATATTTGATTTCAATTTTTATTAGAGATTGCTGTGGCACATGAATTTGCTACTGTTATAATTTTTAGAGTCGTTCCACCCACCACTTGCAAATAAAAATCCATTGTTTATCACGAGCCCGGCATAACCTATATATTAGAACCAATACAAATTTACCATTATGATGTCCAGGCTGATATTTAGAAAGAACCGAATATAATAAGACGAGTCCTGATGTATCTCATCATCAATTATCATTACCTAGTTGCTTTCATTTGTACCAGTACAGTTTCAAAAAAACAAATCAAGTAGTAGGCCAGCCACACAATTTTACAGTTATATGGAATTTTTCCATCTTAAATTCAAATTCTTAATACTCCAGTTTGATTTGTTTTACATTTACCTTGACTTTTATTGGATGTTTTGATTTGCAGCTTGTATGAATTCAGAATTCAGTAATATGAAGGAGAGCTGATCACCTTTAATATTTTTCATCACATTCTATGACAGAATGCTTTTAGAGGAAGGTGAAGAAGAGGAGCAGAACATATCTTATGGTAAAGTATTTTGGTTGTTGTGATTTAATTTTTTCAAGTGTTTTTGTTCTTCAAGAAGGAGTACCTTAGAATATTTTAATTTCCACTATACATCATTTAAAAAAATTGAAACCTTTGGCCCTCCTTTTGACATGTTTTGTTCTAAGTTTTATAAAGTTCTGCTGATTTACCTTGCAATTTTCAATTTTTCAAAGGCGTAAGGCAGCAAGAAGAGAACAACATGGAGACCAATAATCCGTCTGGTAAGTGTTAAATTTGCCCTCTATCCAGATCAACTTTGTTTACTATATTGATGTGGGTACTTTTTCATTCCTTTTGGTTTTAAACTCACCTGAAAAGTCTCCCAATTTTTCCAGCAGTGTCTTGACATAATAGGATCATGTGCTGTATGCCTTGCCATGGTCACCTGTTGAGGACCTTTTATCCAATTACGTGTGGGCCCCTTGTCCAAGCCTTATTCTTCACCACATTTCATGTTTTCCCCACTTCTTTTGCAGGCTCTGGGGTTGAAGTTACGGTTTCTTCAACCAGTGGGACAGATGTCCAATTTGAAAATTCATCTGGTGAGAGACTACAATCACAAGGAAGTGGCCTCCTTAATGTTTCTGACTCTGTCATTGAAACAGGAGCTAGTTTAAGTCCTGGTGCACCAAATAATCCTGGCACAAGTGGTGTCAGCTCCGCTCCTGCCACACCTGAAGCTCACCGTCAGGACCGAGGATTCCTCATACAATCATCCCCATTGACTGCATTTGGAGCTCTACCTGGTGAGCTTAAAAATAAAAAAAAATTACACCAAGAGTATATTTATTCAGAACAGGACATGCTCTATCTATTACCAATGTTGCAGAAATCACGAGCATTAAAGAAGGGACTATGTTGCCATGGGGTGCCCACAAGGAACGTTCTTCCTATCCAACATGTGTAAATGTTGATATAAATATAAGGCCTGGGGAGTTTGTGATGCGGACATTGTTTGCAGAGTTCACTATTCAGGCTGAGAAAAAAATTGAGTCTGTTTTGGCAGATCCTCCGGTTGGTTTTTTAAACTACTGTATTCAAATTTCAGGTCATGATTTAATAAAAGGTAATTACAAACTTGTATGTTGTTTCTCTTTAGGAACGATTATTATCTAAAGCATTGCAGCGTGGAGAAGACTTAGTATTTGATCAGCTCTTAAGTGCTTTTGGCTCAGTTGCTGAACATTGTCTGCCATCAATTCTTAGAGCTCTCTTTGCTTGGTATGAAAGACAAATGGGAGTTTCAGATCCTGTATCCATTGAACAAAAGAAAAGTGACCAGAAAGGGAAAAGGTAATTCAATTTTCAAGTAGATATTACTTAATACATAAATTTATATATTTTACATATTCCTTTTGACTTTTACTCAACCTATTTTTAATTATAGCTCCGAGTCAACTGAGCGCAGTGAAGCAGATTTGCAGCAAGAACGCAGAGATCTAGCTGTGGAGTTCATATTTTGTCTGATGCTTATTGAGGTGCTCAGACAACTTCCATTTCACCCTGGTCATGAAGATCTTGTAAAATACATTGAAGATATTGCATTTAAACATTTCAAACATCGTGAAGGATCACAAAGTAGCCCCAATGCTGCAAATATTCATATTGTGGCTGATCTTTACGCAGAGGTTATTGGAGCCCTGGCTCAGTCCAGATTTTCCTCTGTTCGTAAGCGTTTTATGGCTGAATTGAAGGAATTGCGAAGCAAAGAGCCTAGCACTAATCCTCAGCACAGTATGTCTACCACACACAGCATTATAGCTTTACTTATGGGCATGAAATTCTTTCGGGTAAAGATGGTGCCCATTGAGGAATTTGAAGCATCTTTCCAGTTTATGCAAGAATGTGCTCAGTACTTTTTGGAAGTTAAGGACAAAGATGTGAAGCATGCATTAGCTGGCCTATTTGTTGAAATTTTGGTACCAGTTGCAGCAACAGTTAAAAATGAAGTAAATGTGCCATGCCTCAAGAATTTTGTTGAAATGCTTTATCCTCAGACATTGGACATGTGTACCAAAAATAAGCATCGGCTGCCACTGTTTCCTATGGTCACTTGTTTGCTGTGTGTCAGTCAAAAGCAGTTCTTTTTACAAAACTGGCATTATTTTCTTGCTATGTGTCTGTCACACCTAAAAAATAAAGACCCAAAAATGTGTCGTGTGGCTCTGGAAGCTCTCTATCGTCTTCTGTGGGTGTATATGATTCGTATCAAGTGTGAAAGTAACACAGCGACTCAGTCCCGATTGCAGAGTATTGTGAATTCTTTATTTCCAAAAGGATCAAAAGCAGTTGTGCCCCGAGATACACCTTTGAATATTTTTGTGAAGATTATTCAATTCATTGCTCAAGAAAGGCTGGACTTTGCTATGAGGGAGATTGTGTTTGACTTGCTGTCAGTAGGACGTCCAATTAAAATAATCCTGACTCCCGAACGAATGAGCATTGGGTTGCGAGCTTTTCTTGTGGTGGCTGATAGCCTTCAACAAAAAGAAGGGGAGCCCCCTATGCCTCGTACTGTGGGAGTGATGCCATCCGGAAATACTCTACGTGTGAAGAAGACTTTCCTTAACAAAATGCTCACAGAAGATACTGCACGAAGCATTGGAATGCATGCTTACTTCCCTCACGTACGGAGAGTCTTTGTAGATATATTACGTGCATTGGATGTGCACTACGGTCGCCCTCTGATGTTAACAAATGTTCAAAATGTCAACAAGGAGTCGCATGCCACATCAAACCCAAGCTTTTCCTCTTACTTTCTTCGTCAAGAGCCTGATGAGCTTATAACTGGAGAAAGGAAGCCTCGCATTGATTTGTTCCGTACTTGTGTTGCTGCTGTACCAAGACTGATACCTGATGGCATCACTGGAGCTGAACTTGTAGATCTCCTTGCCAGACTTACTGTTCATATGGATGAAGAGTTACGCGTTCTTGCATTTCAAAGTCTTCAGACTTTAGTCATTGACTTCCCTGACTGGAGGCAGGATGTCATCTGTGGTAAGCTACACTAACTTAGATTAAAAATTCTCATTTTTTTTCAAAGATAATTTCAAATGTCTTCTTTATTGTCTTTCCTCTCTTAGGATTCACTCAGTTTGTTGCAAGGGATGTGCAAGATACATTTCCACAACTTCTAGACAATGGCCTGAGAATGCTCTTGCAGTTACTTACTAGCTGGAAAAACGCACTGGTTGTTCCCGGGACCACAACATTGCGAACTTCAGTTGCACATTCTTCTCAACCTGTTCCTACGCATCCACCCTCTGCAGCCAGCAGTGACCGAGGTAGTGAAAGAAGTACCATTAGTGACCGCAGCACAGCTAGCGAAAGGGAATTCCACATTCTTCAACCAAAGAAACTGCAGGATGCTGTTCAGGTATGTTAATATTTTTCCTCTTTCACTGTCTGGATTGAACTGCAAATTTTTCTTTTATATTACATGGTTTTAATGATAAAATACTTGATCATATTGTGATTACTTTACTTTCAGAAAGTGGAAGCTGTTGGAAATGTCTTGCACATGGTGGAGGCATTAGCCTTAGTTATGCTGTGCCACTGCAGGTTATATCCTCGCAGACTCTCGGTGCACATACTCAGGGAAGTGAAGCATTTGCTAAAGTTAATGGGTTCGGCAGGTCCTGATCAACCAGTCATTGATGTTATTGATAAATGTTGCCCTGTAGTGTTTGAGAAGTGCCTCAGCTCTCTCCCTCCAGCTGAAAAGTCTGCAGCATTAGCCATTTCTTCCATTGATTTGCAATGGATAGCTGACCGTAGTTCCTCAGTTTGGACTGCAGGTTAGAACATTTATCTATTTTTCCATTTTGAGAAAATTGTTTGTAAAATGTTTAATCAATGTTTTCTTCTCTCTCCTGTTGTGTAGGTTTTCAGGATGAAAATAGTACCAAGAGCTCTTCCCAGTTGAATTTGGCTGGATTCGACCCTTGGACAACATGTTTGTTTGGCTTCTTAGAGAAAGATCGAGTACTGTCTTGTTGTCCGACTGCTGTCATTCATTCTTGGCCTATAGTGTTTTCAAGAATTAACTCTCTGTTTACTGTAATTGATCCAACGTAAGTTTTAAATTTGATACTTCCTTTGAACTTTGTCAAGTACAAATTCTCATCATGCTTTACTTGTACAGGCCTGTCAGTGACAACCGTGCATCTTTGCTCAGAAGTTCTGTAACAGTAAAGAAGCCAGTAAATGAGAGAGACATTTACATGCATGTGTGGAAAACTTATGTTGCATTTGCATTTCGTGTCGTCCCTCCCATCCCCAGCCCTATCGTTCGATGTGCCTCTCCAGATTTGAGCCTGAGGTAAGATTTTCTTACTACTGGAGTCTGTTTCCTCCTCCTTTCTTGGTTGTGGTTTATCTTCTTTACCTGTCTCTGTCCGTCAATTAAAGGTCTACATTTGTGTAGTTTTTTCCGCAGCTCCTCTCCAGACAGCCTGACTAACGAGCGTGGAGACAGCAAGGCCCCCTCCAGCACACAGGTGTCGCCAAGCGGCCTGTACAAGTTGGTCGTCCCACTTCTGCGTTGCGAGGCGGCTGACGTCCGGGACGCGGCCGTTCAGGCCCTCGGCAGAGTCAACGTGGACGCGCTCAAGTACGACCTAATTGTTTGTGCTGTTATTTACTTTTATTTTTGCGCAGCAGATTCTATATAGCTCAAATTTTCTTCTCCGGTCGACAGGGACCTGTTGGAGGAGCTGGTTCTGTACATCCGGGAGGCCGTCGATCGAAAGCAGGAGAACATGCGGCGTCGTCGTCGACGGGACGCTCTCCGGCTGCAGGTGGTGCGCGTCCTGGAGCTGGTGGCTGAACACGGCACCTTCGGCATGAGCTCTTGTGTGCTGGAGAGGGACACTCAGTCTCTGCACCCGACCATCGTCGAGTACATCGAGGGCGCTAGAATCTACCTTGAGAGCGAACCAGAGAAGGACCTGCCATCGACAGTCAAGCTGCACTTCTGCAATTTCCTCCGGAAGATGATAAAAAGCTTTTCTCGTGAGTAGCATTGCCGCTGGCAGCCTAGTCTGCCGCGACTCCCTTGAAGTACCCCATGTGTGACTTTGCTATTGTCCGTCGCCCCCCAGTGGAGACGTGCCATACGCTGCTCAAGAGGGACCTGCGGCGCAACCTCTTCTCGCTCTTCACCGGCTGGACGGGACGCTTCGGCCGCGCGCTCGGCGTCGGCCAGGCGCAGCAGGAGGCTCAGCCGGACGACTCGGCGGCCTGCACCGAGCTGCAGCTGTCCGCCCTGCAGGCCATGAGCGCGCTGCTGTGCTGCGGGCCCTGCTTCGACCCGGAGGCCCTGTCCGAGGACGGCGCCCTGTACCCCTGGCTGGACATGCTCCTCTCCTCGCACGACGAGAAGGTGAGCCCCTGGGCCCCCGCAGGGTAGGCCGGCCCGCGCGACACGGCCGCGCGCCGGGCTCGCCTACCCCCGCGGCGCCCGCCCTGAGCGGAGCGGCGACGGATCCGCCCCGCCTCTAATCTTATCGGCACCGCCTGCTTTACGGCGCAGCGGGAGCTGCAGGTACTCGTTGTTGCTCTGCCGACCCAAGC